ATATTTTCTTGTGTTCTAACCCAGCTCACTACCTAGAACCATTGACAAATAAGCTCTGACAAATCAGTTCAGTATATGTGCTTGGTGTGAAACAGGACAGCAGAAAACCATGGTAGAGTGCTGCTATGAAACCAACAAAGCCAAAAGGCAAGTATCTATTATTTTAGAAGGGCCTAAAGGTTATACTGTAGAGCATAAACAGATGATGTCTTTGCCTTATTTCACTTCACTGGATTATGAGATGTTCAGTTTAGGCTTTGATCTTGTCTATAAGAAAGATTAGCCATTTCTGAATTGAGAGTGCTTTGCCAAGTCTTACAGAGAACTGAAACAAAAACTAAATATCTTGGACCTTATAACCAAGCAGAGTGTGAAACCTGGAAAGTATGACTGAGGAATTATTGTGAATGAAGTTGCTGTAAGACTGAAGAGTGCAACCCGTATCTTCAAAAGTTTTGAAGCAGCCTTCTGGGTGCCAAAAGGTGCCATTTAAAGCTTTATGTCAAAACATTATTAAATACAAGGGTAATCTTTCATTAATTGATATTTAATTTAACATTAATTGAAGTTAAATAAAATTAAACCCAACATATTTAATTATTCAAATGTTGAAGTTACCTAACTCTGGATGACTTACAAACAGAAACAATTTTGTTTGGTTGGTTTCTGTTGCTTTGTATAAAAACAACACAAAAAATAGAAGAAAGAACAGAACTGACCAGAAAAACAGATTATCTATAAACCAACCACAACCTATCTCCAATACACTCAGGAATTCCTGATACAGAGTCAAACAGCAAATGTAGCCTTTAACTAAAAAAATAAATACTGTGCATTTTACAGCTAAGTAAAGCCAGTTACATATAACTGTTTCTTTTACCTCTCAGGCTTCCTGGTGTGAAATCAGCAAATGTTTGCCAGAAACTTGACCAAGCAAGATTAAATAAAACTTTATTGCATACTATTTTAAAAACCACTATAAACAGTTGTTTGTCCTTTGTCAAAGCAAGTGTGAATTTTCCACTCTTATCCTTGCTGGCATTTGTTTAATATATTGTTTGACTTCTGCTTTTCAACCTTGAAGCTATTGACTATTGACTAGCAGCTAGAACAGAGATGTCATACTCGCAATGTCATGTGATATTGTGTGATGTATGGAACTTTTTCCCCATTGCCGGCAATGGGGTGGGCACAATTTCTTTGTGACACATCCGGCCCACGGGTCGGCAGTTTGACACCCCTGAGCTAGAAGATGGCTCCCAATACCAGCCTCCCATACCTGCCTCATCATCTCCAGGCCTATAGCTTTTATTCCCCCATTTGCCTATATAGCAAGCCAATGAGAAGAGGAGAAAGGATGTTATTGGGTTCTCCACCACACATACACTTATAGATTTATCACAAAATACTTCTTTTGAGAGCAGGCATCAGAATTTCATTTTTTAATCTGTGACAGTGTGTTCACAGAAAAAAGTGACAATAAAGGTTATATTATCTTATTTTCTACAAAGAATATCCATTGCCCCCAAGCTATCAACTTTTCTTTACATATGTGGGGAAATTGATCTCTTGATCTTCTTGCTATCTAGAGAGAACAATATTCATAGCTTGAGCTATTTAAAAAGGATTCCCTGAAACATTCCAACTCACATCCTTCTCTTACAGAGTGTTTTGCCAAGCTTTTTAAAAAAAACATGGCAAGAGAATAAACAGTTATATCCTGATACTGTTTTGCTGACATAAGAATGGAAGAACAGGACATTAAAACAGCAGGTTGGATGAGGTCTATATTGGCTCAGTTTAGTTTTGTTAAACTATTTGTGTTTCTTTAGAAATTTTTGGAAGGGCCAAGAAGGACACAGGGAAGTGAAATAAAAAAGCTATGTACATGTTATGGTTGGATTATAGAGATCCCTATTATATGAGATCCTGGCTTGAAGGATGTTCTTAAAATTGGAATAAGAACAGCATGCACTGATCAGTCTGCTTCATCTAATTAAAAGGAAATACTGTTCACGAGAAACAGAGTATCACATGATACTTATATTTTACTGCACAAAGTTTTACTTTGTTCAACCTTTGAAGCATTCAAAACTCATTTATAGATACTTGAGGCACATCTAATTTATACAATTACATGTTTAAAAATCCTGTAATTGGTTTCTGCTTATGCTCATAAGGAGAAAAAAACCCACTAATTTAGTATCTAAATAGGAACTGAATGTTCTATTTAGAGGGTATGAAAGGTAATTTTTATTTGAAATTGTTAAAAAATTTCTTTTTAAAATGATTAAGACACTACATATTATATGTTCCAATGCTTCATTTAAAAAATTACAGAAAGGCATCTCAGAAACATTCAAACGGTATTAGAAAAAGAAAGGGAATACCTTAACATAATGTCTTGCAACATTTTCTCCCATTTTCAGTGATTGAGTATTTCCTATTGATTTTCACAAATATAGAAACTTTCTTCTTCCGTGCTTTTGATTCCTCATGTTTCTTTTTCAACTCAGAACCATTCAGACATGTAGTTGAATTGTAAATTATAGAACATTTAATTCAGATTTGGCCATCCTGATGCGTTAGAGCTACAAACATTTTTCCTTCCTTTCCATGAATCCTGTTTCCCCATTCTTGGCATTATGATTTTTATTCAATTGTAGCATAAAATACTTACAGCTAGTCCTTGCACTTATGATTGTTGCAGCATCCCTGCAATCACATGATAAAAATTAGTTTTGATGTATTTATGATGGTTGCAGTATTATGCAATCATCATTTGCGACCTTCCCTGCTGGCTTCCTACAAACAAGTCAGTCCAGAAGCCAGATTCACTAATGACCATTTGATTCATTTAATGACTGCAGGGATTCACCAAACAATTGTGGCAAGAAGGCCATAAGATTGGGTGTGATCTCGTAATGACTCTCTTGCTTAGTGATGGAAGTTCTGTTTGCAATTGTGGCAATAAATCAAGGACTACCTATAGTGAGGAACATGAATGCTACTGTGTTCTATACATCAAATATGGGATAGCATATATTTGGATGATTTCCCAAGTGCTATGGAACTGTCCTGTTCTAGCTGTTTGGTTATTTGGTATTGAATCAAAGTTTGCTTTATTGTAACCACTAACAAAAGATGCTTGGGAGTTATTGATGTGCTGTGTTATTTAGTGTGAAACTACCCTCCTAAACATCCCAGAAAGGATAATATTTCACTGTAAGCAGTGCTAGTGCAAGATACAGCAGTAGTACTGCTGTATAATCCTTTGGAAGATGTCACTTGGAATACTGCATCCAATTTTGGTCATCATGATACAAAAAAGGATGTAGAAAGAATGCAGAGTAGAACAACAAAGATGATCAGGGGACTGGAGGCTAAAACATATGAAGAATTCTTGAGGAACTGGGCATGTTTAGTCTAACGAAAAGAAAGACCCGGGTGACAAGACAGCAGTCTTCCTATATCCAAGGGGCTATCACAAAAAAAGGGGGTCAACCTATTCTCCAAAGCACTTGAGGGCAGAAGAAGTAACAGAAACTTATTTAAGAAAGATCCAACCTAGAGCTAAGGAGAAGTTTCCTGACCGTGTGAAGGCTCCAGACGTTGTGGTGCTCCATCACTAGAGGTTTTTAAGAGATTGGACAGCCATTTGGAATATACATGGTCTCCTGCTTGAGCAAGGATTGGATTAGAAGACCTCCAATTCGTTATTGTTGTTCTGTTAAATTGATCAGGAAAAGTGCACTTTTTTCTACGACCGCCTGTACTTATAACACATGGAGGATAATTCTTAGCCCCAAATGTTAAAGTTTTCGCAATTTTCCAGCTTCCCCTTAGTACATGTCAAGAGCCTGCGCTACAATCCGCTGGCTGCGTGCCTACTGTCAGAGCCGCCTTTGGTTTAAGCAGTGTTTCTCAACCTTGACAATTTTAAGGCATGTGGACTTCAACTCCCAGAATTCCACAGCCAGCAATGCTGGCTGTGGAATTCTGGGAGTTGAAGTCCACATGCCTTAAAATTGTCAAGGTTGAGAAACACTGCTTTAAAGGAAGGGGCGGGACAAGCGAGGAGACTGTTTTACGGCGTCCCTTTTCCAAGTTAGACGGTGTGCTGCCTCCCAGTTTTGGGAAGTTGAAGTTTCCACAGAAAATGCTCCTTAAATGCCAAGCCAGGGAGATGTTACTGAACGAAATAATATGTAAAATACATGTATTTTTGCGACAGTTGCCGTGCAGACGGCGGCAGATCACATATTACTGAGTCTCCGTCCTATAACTGGTGTTAGACAGCAATCAACAAATGGAAAATCCGGACACCTAGAGGCCACGTGTGGAAGAGAATTCTGATTTCTCATTTCTCAATTGCATTGCTATAGCATTGCTCAAGGTCGGGAACAGAAACGTTAACCCTGCTAAAGTGAACAACTTAGAACAGCGTTGCGTAGCAGTCCCTTCTTAAGCATTCGAGAAATCGATTTCTACTTCTGGTGACTGCCTGGGCATATCTACTTATGTTGGTAACATAAGTGTTGGCTTTTGCCACTGCCATTTTTCAGAATTTTCTTCCTTAGTGATAGTTGTGGATTTCCCCACGCTCACGCGTCCGAGTTATAACCTGGTTCGACCGTATTTAACAACCGAGTGGATTTGGACAGCAAGCGAGTTTAAATAAATAAAATAGTTAACTTATACTGAGATCCATTAAGTGCTCTCCCAACTAAAGCAAGCTTCCCTCTTTGAAGCCTCTACCACTCCGTATAAAGCTCAATTCAACATTAACACAAGCGGGCTCTTCCTCTCTCTGAATGGGCCTCTTATTTATCGGTTTTCTAAATGACAATTAGTTCCTTGCTCAGAAGATGGCGCTCACAGCGGTTCGCCAGGCGCTGCTGCACCTTTAAGCAATCACAGAGGAAGGAAGTGCCCAACACCATCTCCTGCCCTTCCTCTCCCCCCTCCCTCCCGACCGCCGGAGAAAAGAATGAGAGAGAATGAGCTGGAAAGATACCGCGATCCATTTATTTGCTGGAGGGTAGGTAGAATTGAGGCAGGTTTGGGCCCTGGGGTGGGGCGACAGAGGGGAAAACGTGCGGGCACCTAAGCGTTCTGGCCGGCTGTGATGCTGGAGAGAAAAGTGAAGGCTTCCCTGGTTCGCCCAGGCTAGCCAACGGTTAAAGGGGGCAATATGGAACACTCCTGCTGAAGCTGTAGGCCTGCAGAAAGACCTTTGCAGAAAGACCTTGGGTTGAAGCAGGCCTCCTGCTGCAGCTCCCATAGAAACGGCTTCCCAAGAGTTAGAAGCATCTGCTGCTGGCCAGAGCGGTGAGTGTGGGGCCTGCGCGTCGAGACAGCCCAGATGAACGCAGGAGGCCTAAGCAAGATGACTCTGATGTAAAGCTAGAAAGGGGTAGTTTGCGCATTGGATGGTAGGATTTAAGGCCAGAAAAATAAGGCTATAAGGAATTGTCTTCTGGCTCTGACTAACGAAATTGGCCCTGCTGCGAGATTTGGATTTTTTGGGGAAGATGTTTCTTTTTTCTGTTTCTTTTAATTGGAAGGCAGAATCTCTTTTTGAAGTTGCATGTGGTTCAATATTTGCTATGTTCCTTAAACCATAAATAAAAGAGGAATTCTTATTTAATAATATTCAGGTGAATAATTATTCAGTTGAACTAAAGGAATTTTGTGTGATCTAAAGGAATTTTGTGTGATTTCAAACTAAAAATGCAAGATCCAAGTTTCATCAAGAGAAAATTTAATGCTATACCCTGGACATTATAGGAAGATTCTATTTGTCATATCACTGCTTATTCATGAACAAATTCAAACTGAATAATATATACATAGCATAGCACAACAATTTTGGGTGGGGTTGACACATGCACTAAGGCCCAGGGGTCTTCAAACTTGGCCCTTGTATGACTTGTGGACTTCAACTCCCAGACTTCCTCAGCCAGCATGCCTGGCTGAGGAATTCTGGGAGTTGAAAGTCATAAAAGGGCCAAGTTTGAAGACCTCTGCACTAAGCCATGAATTATTGAATAAATTATTTATGTTGCCTTGAGTTCCTGAATGAAAGGCAGGTTATAAATCAGTCAGATAAATAGTTACGTGGGAATAAATGGATTGACTCAAAAAACAATATTGTTTGAGTTCATCCATTCTGTGGCTTAGCAGGATACAGTAATCCTAACACTACAGATTTAATAGACTTTTATGAAGTTTGATTCTTAATTGAAACAAATATGTTTAGACAAACTATCAAAACAGCTTATCACTTTTTATTAATTGAACACTTATACATGTCCACATTTTTGTACTTGTATTGTGACATTGCATGCAAATGTGTAAGAGGCATATTTGGTTATATATTAGTGTATTCATCTTGGTTCACTTAACCCAAATGTTGCCAAAATATGGTTTACCAGTTACACTGTGCTGCTGAAAATAACTTTTTGTTCATCTACATTGGAGGATCATGGGCTGCTAAGGCTTAAAGCAGGCATGTCAAACTCGCAATGTCACATGATGTCGCGCAATGTATTGGGCCGGTTTTGCCATTTCTGGCAATGGGGTGGGCACGTCTTCCATGTGACACGTCCGGCCCGTGGGCCGGCAGTTTGACATCCCTGGCTTAAAGCAATAAACAGCCAACATCTTAATATATTGTGAAAGGTTTGAAATCAAGATAAATTAAGCACTGAATTTTGCAACATTGTTTTCAAGCTCTTTAAGATCAAATGATCTTATATGAATTCAGGTGCTCCTTAGTATGTATTAATTACACATGTCCATTTTGTATGATCAGGGCTTGAGATGTTTTCACTCAATATGGAAAATATTGATCCTAGCATTTTAGGAACACCAGATAATCCATCTGTGCCTAAATGATTTAATAGCCATTGGATGATTATATATATTTACAAATATGTTGCTATCAATATAATACAAATATGCCTCAGTCTTTTATAATAAATTTGGAGATGAGAAAATGTAATCTTGTTGCAGAATAACCTGACCTGTATTTGTTCCTTTTAAACCAAGTTGGACTTTTTCCATATTTAGAGAAATGAACTTCAAATAAGCAAGAAAAAGAGTAAAGTCACAAAAATATGTTCAGGAGAGGTAGTTGTTGCTGCAATACAGGAAAGAGAAAGCTTTTCAGATATTTTCAATTGCAGCCTTATCTAAGTGTGCTAGGAATGCAAAGTTCTACTGATTCATGGAGAGTTAGATAATGTTTTAACACTATTCCATTTGTATCTTATACTGAAATAGTATTCAAAGTTTCTTTCTTTAAAAAGTGACAGATACAGTCCTTTTAAATTCTCAAAATAGCATAAACTTTGAAAGGTATTAGTAGTAATGCAGTTCAGCAAATTGTCAAATTTGTTGTTTATTAAGCACTTATGATTTGTAAAAATTAGAAAATCAATAAAATTTTATTAAAAAGATGACTAAGATGCAGAAAGTAGCAAACAGTATCATCAAATCAAGCTTTTTTATATAAGGTAAGACTTTTTTTTAAAAAAACAACAACATAATACTGTGTTAGATTTTAACTCCTTAACATCCAACAATATTAGGTAAGTAGTTGTCATCCAGTACATCTGAAAGTGCTAAGTTGGAGAAGGCTACTTTACACAGAAGTAAGATCCCATTAGGTTTATTCTGTTCACTCCCAACAGTTCACAAAAATTGGCTGTTAGCAGAATAGGCCCTCAGGTCAGATCTATTAAGTCCCTTGTGTTTCTTAGTGCTTATACAATTGGTTCTAAAGAATGTTTAATTCTCTTGATAGTTGGGATAAGGGGATGATAAAATTTTCCCAAAGCTGATGGCCATGCAATTTTTAAAAATGTTATACTGGTTGAAGTTTGAAAAATGTGGGATAGAGGTAGAGAACTAGAAATATATCATAGAACTATTCTAAGGAAAGTATAGAAAAGTCCCTGGAGTTAAAATAAACAAGCTGATAAGAAATAGTTGCAGTCTGAGATGCTGAGTCCCATAGGGCTGAGTAAGGGTAAACAGTGTAGAAAGGAAATATTTGTAAAGCTAATTATCTCTTCTTGTATTCTTCCAAAATTAGTAAAATTGATTGGAGTACAACAGGGGCTAGAATTGTGAACAAGTGAGAGATATTGATTCCATTTTCTGTACTAAACTCTTTAAAGACTGAAGTAACACAGATCAAGTCCTCATTTAGCTATTCAGTGTTTCTCAACCTTGACAATTTTAAGGCATGTGGACTTCAACTCCCAGAATTCCACAGCCAGCATTGCTGGCTGTGGAATTCTGGGAGTTGAAGTCCACATGCCTTAAAATTGTCAAGGTTGAGAAACACTGAGCTATATCATTGGATATTGTTTGAGCCCATCACTACCTATGTTTGAACAATCTATATAATATATCCAACGATCTTTACCTACCAGACTCAGAAAATTAGGCGAACTAAACACCGTGGTTCTGTTAATTGTGGGAAAACAGATTGTGCAAAACTCAGCTTCTGCCTACGATACTTCATAACTTTTTAATTGGAGCAACTAGTATGAATCTCACTCTCACGAGGCAAAGGGAAATGAATAGCTCGCATGTCCTTTTTCCCTCTGACCGAAAAGGGGGGAGAGGGAGCCGCGTCTGTGAGTTCCCACCCGAGAGAAACAAACCTAAAGAGAGAAAAGAAAGTCTCTAGACTTCTCTGCTGCGTGCAGCAGGTGCATCTCTAGCCCACTGTAATTCGTATTTACTCGGAAGTGAAACCCAACTTCAGGGGGGCTTGGTCCCAAGAAGGGAAGGAGAAACGCGAAAGCGTGCGCTTCCCAGGCAAACTAGATGGTGCAGCGTCTCTTGCTAACCTCGCCATCCCGGCCTAATTGACTTTGAGTTTTGTTTTTTTTTTATTTGGGGAGATACTTTTGCTTTGCGTCGGTATACAGCTCAGTACGTAGTCACGTGCACTAAGCCAGCCCAATTTAACCAGTGACGTCATGGTCCCTCGTGAGCCAATGGCGCGTCTGTTTATATTGGGCTTCGCTTTGCCTTGGAAGCGAGAGGCCAGGTGGCTGCGCTTTTGTCTGCTTGCTTGGGTTGCTCTTGCCTCTTGCTGGGACCGGAGTTTCTGTAAGTCGTCTCTGAGGAAGCGGCGTTAGGGTTTCCTAGTTTGTGCTCATCGCTGTTCAGATTAGCAAGAAAGCGGAGTGGGAGAAGTCTCCCGTTCGGTCATCCTTGTATCTTAATCGGCATAAGAATGAGAATATGAGCCAGAGAGATATTTGCGTACATCTGTTTGCTGGAGGGTAGGTGAAATATTATAATAACCTCCCTTCCTTTCTGCCTTAACATGTATTGACTATCTGCTCTACATACAAAACTTCTGTGTAATATGTGGCCTATGATATTTAATTGGTGGAGCAAGTGGAAGGGTGTATGCGTAAGATAGAATTTTTTTCTCAAAATAGAATGGAAATTGTGGGAATGATTTGAATTAAGACTAAAAGATTTCTGACTGACTGGACCATTTTTAAGTCACCGTGCATTAATGCACATTAGGTAATGCAGATTTTAGTATTTCATGGGTAGATTTATAATAAAATGGTGCGATACATCTGTAACATTCGTTTTGTGTGCTGCAGGAAAGAAAGTTAAAACTTCAGTCTGCAGAGGTTCTGATCTTGAATTAGCTGGTTGTCTCCCTATTTTTATTTATCTGTATCAATTATTGTTGGCTGGATTATGTTAATCTAACTTGCAAACATATGCATGTTAGGAAATCATTTGAATGTGCAAAAATTACTTCTTTTGGATAACATCGATTTCTTGAAATATACAGTTGTTCAGATAATCTACTGCAGTCTGGTAATTATCTATCAAGCTGATAAATAACTGGTTCTAAACACCACTCTTGTGTATAGACTTTGTATAAATAATAGATTATATACTCCAACAATTTTGTTTGTAATCTTACATGCATTTATCAGATATACAGCCCTTTCAATCTAGGTGGAAGATCAAGTACTAGAGGGTAATTTG